ATCTGACACATCATCGCCACATAAGCAAGGAACACTCAGTCAGCAGCCTAGTCAGCTGCCACGTAAGCAGCCCAGTCAATCGCCAGGTCAGCAGTCCAGTCAGTTGCCACATCAGCAAGTCAACGCCACGTCATCGTTTGACTGCCACGTCAGCATTAAAAAAAAAACCTCCCCTCCCCCATTTTCGACTGTTCCGGACGCAACGGTGCTGTCTGTTTTTCAAAATTTTGCTCCGATTGGTTCCAAACAGATCACTAAAGGTGTAAAATGGCCATGGAAGAGTCAACTTCATCTTCTGGAGCTATGATTATGCTCGCGGCTACCAACTATACGCTGTGAAAACCTCGGATGGAAGATTTCCTCAGCTGTAAAGAGCTCTTTGACCCAATAAAGCTGCAGGGTATTAACCCTGATCCATCCAAGGCGTTAGAATGGAAGAAAATCAACAGAAAAACTATTGGTCAAATCCGACAATGGATTGATCATAGTGTCTTCCATCATGTTTCACAAGAAACCGACGCATATGTCCTTTGGAGGAAGCTGGAGGACATGTACCAAGCCAAAACCACTCGGAATAAGGCCTTATTGATGAGGCGCTTAGTCAATATGAAGTTGAAAAGTGGAACTTCTGTTGCCGAGCATACCAGTGAGTTCCAGAGCCTGGTAAATCAGCTATCTTGTGTTGAGATGCCGCTTAAAGATGAAATGCAATCTCTGCTACTTCTTAGTTCCCTTCCTGATAGCTGGGAAACACTCGTTGTTACTCTCAACAACTCAGCCTCAAACGGCAAACTTTCCATGTCCGTTGTCAAGGATGCCTTATTCAATGAAGAGGCAAGAAGGAAAGACATGGGCACAGATCAGACCCATGCCCTTGTGATGGAGAATCGAGGAAGACCACAAGGCAAGCAACAAAGAAGCAGTAGAGGGAAGAGCAGGGGTAGAAGCAAGGGGAGGCAATCAGATGATCGGAGATCACATGTGTGCTATCACTGTGGTCTAGAAGGTCATATGAAGAAGAATTGCTATAAATGGCTCGAGGAGCAGGGCAAGATCAATTCTCAGCTGAAGAATAGTTCTCAGCAGAAGAACAAGGGCAAGGGTGGTGAAACTCTTATCACTGTCTCAGGTGATGTAGCATATTGCTCTAACCATGGTGAGACATGCCTTCATGTCTCAAGAGAAGACATGGAATGGGTGGTAGATACTGCAGCATCCTATCACGTTACTCCCAACAGGAAATACTTCACAACATACCAAGCTGGAGACTTTGGATCGGTGAAGATGGGAAATTCCAGCTCCTCTCAAATTGCCGGAATTGGTGATATCCAGGCAACGACAGGAACCGGGAGTACAATCTTGTTGAAGGATGTTAGGCATGTGCCAGATCTTAGGCTGAATCTTTTGTCAGTGGTGGCTCTTGACAAAGAAGGATATAAAAATCACTTAGGCGCAGGCACATGGAAGTTGTCAAAGGGTGTTCTGAAAATTGCCCGAGGACATGTTTGTGGGACGCTGTACAAAACACATTTGAAGATCAGTACAAAAAGCCTCAATGTTGCAGAGGAGGTTTCCCAGGATCTATGGCACAAGAGACTCGGCCATATGAGTGAGAAAGGGCTGACTACCCTGATGAAGAAGGATCTTATCAAGGTTGGTAAGAGTGCGGCGATGGGTTCTTGCAGTCATTGTCTGTTCGGCAAGTAGCATAGAGTCTCATTCAATACAAGTTCAACGAAGAGATCAGAGTTGTTAAACTTGGTACACTCTGATGTTTGCGGTCCCATGGAGGTTGAATCACTGGGTGGAAGAAGATATTTTCTGACTTTCATTGATGATGCTTCTCGAAAGGTGTGGGTATATATCCTGAATATGAAGGACCAGGTGTTTGAGTACTTCAAGTCATTTCACGTCATGGTGGAACGTGAAACAGGAAAGAAGCTGAAATGTCTCTGATCTGATAATGGAGGCGAGTATACTTCCAAGGAGTTCGATGCATATTGCAGGACATATGGCATTCGAAATGAGAAGTCAGTACCACGTACCCCTCAGCACAACGGTGTTGCTGAAAGAATGAATCGGACTATCATGGAGCGTGTCCGAAGCATGATGAATATGGCTAAATTACCAAAGCCATTTTGGGGAGAAGCTGTCAAGACCGCATGTTATCTAATCAACCGATCACCTTCAGTTCCATTAAATTTTGAAGTTCCAGAGAGAATATGGACTGGTAAGGATCCGACATACTCACATCTCATAGTATTTGGTTGTGTAGCATATGCACATGTATCCAAAGAACTCAGGAAGAAGCTCGATGCGAGGTCCATCCCATGCATTTTCATTGGTTATGGAGATGAAGAGTTTGGATACAGATTTTGGGATCCAAATGAGAAAAAGGTGATCAGAAGTAGGGACGTTGTGTTCCAAGAAAATTTGACAATAGAAGATATCGAAAAGCCCAAGATGTCTCAGAAGTCAAATGTGGGTGCTCAAGTTTCAGATGAAGCACCAAAATTGTTCCGGAGAAACAATGAAGATGATGTACCATAAGAAGACGAGGAGACGGAGGAGAGTGCAGAGCAAGGGGAGCGACAACCCATCTTGCCAGAGCGAGGGGAGCCACAACCCATTTTGCCAGACACCAATGTTGGAAGTTCTTCTCAGATGATTCTACCTACTCGTAGATCTGAACGGGGTCATATACCATCAAAAATGTACTCATCATCTGAATACCTTCTATTGACAGAAGATGGAGAACCAGAGAGTTTTCAAGAAGCCATATCTCATAAGGATAAAGAAAAATGGATGGCTGCGATGCAGGAAGAGTTAGATTCTCTGCAGAAAAATCAAACTTATGAGATTGTTAAACTTCCAGAAGGGAAAAAGGCTTTGAAAAATAAATGGGTGTTCAAGCTGAAGAAAGATGCAAATGGACAAGTGGTGAAACACAAAGCTCGATTGGTAGTCAAAGGCTTTTGAACAGAAGAAAGGGATTGATTTTGACGAGATCTTTGCACCAGTTGTCAAGATGACCTCAATTCGAGTCATACTTGGCTTGGCAGCAAGTATGAATTTGGAGCTTGAACAGATGGATGTGAAGACAGCTTTTTTTCACGGAGATTTGAATGAAGAAATCTATATGCAGCAGCCAGAAGGTTT